CTCCGCCGTGTGTGTGTTTAAGATTCAGAGCAGCACAACAAACACAACGCTGATCTATGATATCATTCCCCTCCTGCTGCTATCAGATCATCCGAGCGGCTGTTCCAGATAATGGAGCGTGACTGCAGCTTAAAACGCTCGTTTTCATGCTGAGGTTTGGTCTGAGATCCTGCTCTCCTCCTCTTTATAGAAACATCCAAACGTTGGACGAGTTCCTGCAGCTGAAAATGAAAAGTTTTGTGTTTCTGTTTCTGCTGCAGAGACTCGACCGAACCAAACGTCTCTGTATTTTGTTGATGTTGCAGAGCAGCAGGGGATCATGGGAGTTCTCGTCTGCATAATGTTTGTGGAGGAGGTTAGATGTCAGCCCTGCGCTCACCTGCTGTGGATGCTGCTGCAGCAGTGCATCATGGGGTTTGTAGCAACATGTGACCACCTGGTGTTCGGATCAGAGCGGCGGCTGAATACGAAGGAGGCGGTCGTGTCTCTGGGGCGTTCCTGCTGACGGCCTAATGAGCCCGCAGCTCGTCAACGCTAATGGACTTTTGACGATGGAGATAAAACGAGTCCTTAAAGACGGCGGCTCGAACCAACGCTGTGCGGGATTATTCTAATCGAGTTTTCTCTCTTCTGCGGCTCATCAGGCTTCGCTCTCTGTGGCTCAGAGCCGGGGTCGAAGGTCAAAACTAGACCGAGGAAGGTGGGCAGCTTTGCGTTAGTAGACGTTTAATAACGGTTTCTGTTAGAGGAGGTGATGATTTGGATTTTAATAAAGGAGGAGGAGGAGGAGGAGGAGGAGGTGTGAGTGTCCTTGTGAGCCCGGTCCTCGTTTATCAATCAATCAATCAATCAATCAACTTTATTTCTATAGCACATTTTAAAATAACCACAAGGGTAGTCAAAGTGCTGTACAATGATACATAAAACAAATAACACAAAGAGCAAGATAAAGTGAGCAGAAATACATTAATGCAAGGGGATAAATAAGTAAAATAAATAAGCCGGCTCACGGCAGGTGCTAAAATGATAAAAAACAAAGTAACACTAAAAAGTATCAAAAGCCAAGGAGTAAAAGTGTGTTTATCAACCGTGTGTAGAAAAGGTTCTAAATTCTGTCGTAGGAATAAAATGTCAAATGTTGGGAAGAACAAACAAACACGTGGACACGGTCGTACGAACACGAGTCAGTGATCGTTGATGATAAATCCCGCCTGTTCTTTCCTGGCGTGCTCGTTCATGGTTAGGGTCATTGACATTCAGACACGCCTCCAACTGACCATATATGGTATCAACAATCCCTTTAAAGATACCTGAATGGATTTTTTTTACCCCTCGCTGAGATCATGGAGGTGCACACTCACAGTTGTGCGTTCCTCCAACGTTTAACAGATCCATATGATCGTCTCAGATTATTGATCATTGATTGATTGAAATCCTTTCCTGTTGATTAAACTGAATTTATCGTGTATAGATGCTTTTATTACGATGTGGTCAAATCTGTGGCTCCGATCGTTTTATTTTGGCGTGTTGCTGACGTGTGTATGAGAACTGGATGTAAGTCGAGGTCAGAGAAATTATTGATTAACTCTGCCGACATGATTCTGTTAGCGTTGTCTGTGAAATGTCGTCTTTGTCTCCGATCTCAGGCTGAAATGTCGGGTTAGGGTGGACAGGAGCTGGATGGTCACTGGGATGATGGCGTTGGAGCGTTTTGTCTCTCGCTCCGACACGGGTTGTAATTTGTACTTTTATTTGTTTGTATTTGTACTTGTCAGACTTCTTCTGAGGTTGTCCTGTCATTCAATCATTCCAAATGTCTGATCAATAACTAATTGATCAACAGAAATCATGAGTGTAGTCTGAGATTGCTGAACGCTGTGACTCCTTTAATGGTTCTGGTTGTAGTTTCACTGTTCGACCACTAGGGGTTGTGTGTACGCGTGCTCAGAGTTGGGCTAAAATTTACGCACAAGTTCAGGTTGATAAATGTCAGACTTTACGTGGGAACGTTCGTACACACTCATCTGTTCGGACACTCGGATGATAAATGAAACTCGAGGTCAGACTCAGAGTGAACTAGAACCTCTTCAGAACCCTCCTTCAGTCTGAGGTCTGGTGTTGGTTCTGGTTGAAGAGTTGGTTCAGATCAGTTTGGGTTTATTTGAACTCTGTCTGAGTCTCGGTGTCTCTCGCCCGCTCTCTCTCTCTCTCTCTCTCTCTTTTCTGCAAAGACAGAGTTTACAGATCCAGCCGGGAGGGGTTTCTGTGTGTGTGTGTGTGTGTGTGTGTGTGTGTGTGTGTGTGTGTGTGTGTGTGTGTGTGTGTGTGTGTGCGCTCGTTACAGCAGATCTGCCGGCTCCAGTATGAGAAAGCATAAATACAGCCTCCCTAATGACCCCGGTTACCGCGGCAACAGCATCCATTGAGACAAATCTGACAGCCGAACGAGGAGAAGAGGTGACGGAGAGAGAGAGAGAGAGAGAGAGAGAGAGAGAGAGAGGGGGGGAGAGAGAGGGAGAGAGAGAGAGAGGGAGAGAAGAGAGGGGGAGGGGGGGGGACAAAAGGAAAGAGAGAGAGAGAGAGAGAGAGAGAGAGAGGATGACAACAGAGAGAGAGAGAGAGAGGATGAACAGACAGAGCGAGAGAGAGAGAGAGAGGATGACAACAGAGAGAGAGAGAGAGAGGATGAACAGACAGAGAGAGAGAGAGAGAGAGGATGACAACAGAGAGAGAGAGAGAGAGAGGATGAACAGACAGAGAGACAGAATGGAGGGAATAGAAGGAAAATATATATCTTTAAAAATATAATAAAAAAGCAAAAATAGAATCAAAAATCAGAATCTAGACGATAAAAAACAGACTTCTGTAAAAGGAGATCTATAGATCTGTGTTTTTAGATAAAAGAGATGAAGAGGAGGAGGAGGAGGAGGTCAGTCTGATCTTTTTGAGGAGGGGTTAAAAACCTGATCAGGACCAGGATGGTTCCAAATCTCAGATCTTTACTAACGTCTTAAACTGAAAACACTCAGGATCACCTGGATCAGCTGACAGTCAGCTGTTCGTCCTGACTGAGATGTATCTGTGAAAACCACCTGATCAGACCTGTACTGATTTATTCATATCTGATCCTAAACTCCAAAATTTATACAGATTATTTTATTTTATTTAATAATATCTCAGGAACTTTTTCATGAGGCTCAAAGTTTCAGAAAAAAAAGGTTTTTAAAAATGATCTTTAACAGAAACACCTGCACAAAAGAAAGGATGAAAGAGGAGGAGAAGAGAAACAAAGGAGATACAGGGAGGGAGGAGAGAGAGTGTTAATAAGAGGAGTCAGAGATACAGTAGATCAGAGGGGGAGGGGAGGAGGAGACGAGGAGAGAAGGAGAGGAGGAGACAATAACAATAGAGATGAAAAATAAAAGAGGGAAGATTGTGGTTAAAAACAGACGAGAAAGAAAAGAGAGGAGGAACTGGGGGGTATTATTGTGTGTGTGTGTGTGTGTGTGTGTGTGTGTGTGTGTGTGTGTGTGTGTGTGTGTCTGTGTGTGTGTGTGTGTGTGTGTGTGTGTCTGTGTGTGTGTCCAAACAGGCCCGAGCAGCGAGGAAATCGAATGAAATGAAATAAGCCTCTACACCTGTCAGATTCAACACACACACACACACACACAGACACACACAGTTGTACAGCTGCAGTGAGCCCTGAGGAACACACACACATGCTCACACACACACACGCTCACACACACTGCTCTGTGATTTGCTCGCTGTGGTTCCTGACGTTTTGATTCGGGTTTCAGATGTTGAGGTTTTTTTCGTCCAGCAGCCGTTTAGCTCGACTCTGACAGACGGAGCGTCCAGCCAGCAGAGAGGCGTTCAAATGCTCTGAACCAGCGTGGGACAAACCACACACACACACACACACACACACACACACACACACACACACACACACACACACACACACACCAGCAGAGTTTACTGATAAAAACATTAGAGAGGAAGAGGATGTGTTGTGTCCTCTGCTCTGGTTCAGGACCTCCTGGATCCATGTCATGGGGACCTTCTACATCTGTGACGGCTTCATTAATGCTGATCTATATCTACAGGTTTAGGAGAAACATCTACTGACATCCAGACAAAGACTTTTTCAGGGAAGACCTTCAGATTTCAGCAAAACAGACGGGACTCTGAGGTGGAAATCACTGCATTAGAAATGTGTCATAACGTTAAACCTGTAATAACAGTCGGGCTGGGACAATACGCTTTTCTCCCGATTAGATTCTTCTACCATTTTTTAGATGCCGAATCAATTTAAATTGCGGTTCCTCAAAAAATACATATCAGTCAGTTTTTTAGTTTTTTTCTAAAATTTAAAAAAATAAAATATTTGAAGAAAAAACTCGTTTTTAATTTTTACCAAAAAATAGTTTTTAAACAAAACGTTTTTTGTTAAAAAACGTTTTTTTTTTAACAAAAATATCACAGAAAAAAATCGTTTTTTAAGACAAAAATTTTTAAATAAAAAATCGATTTTTAACCAAAAATTTTTGAACAAAAAAAATTTGAACAAAAAAAATCTATATTTTAAACCAAATTTTTTTTAACTGAAAAATCGATTTTTGTGACCAAAAAATTGAAACTAAAAATCGTTTTTTTAACTAAAAAATTTGAACAAAAAAATAAAAAAAATGTTTTTTTTTAACAGAGAAAACTATTGAAAACTGTAAAACAAAATATCGTGATACTTATGTGAATCGTTTTTTACTCTCTCACCCTTATTAAACAGCACTAAAGACTCAGAGGGAGGAGATGTTAAGAGTTCATTACTGTGCGTCTCACTGTAGAGTTCACTCTCTGTTTACCTGCCGTGTTCACACCTACGCTCACTCAGACCTCTCACAGAGTTTTTTACCAGAGGGCAGACAGGACAGAGTCTGGATGAAGAGGGACGGACATATGGAGGGCTGTAGTGGGTCTGTACAGAGAGAGCAGGTGGTGTTCAGTGGGTCATCGTTCAGAGACTGTTTGAGCTCCAGCCAGACCCCCGAGTCACCGTCCTTTATTTAACTTCAGGTTTAAACACGTTTACAGTTAAATCTGAAGTTTCTGCACGAATTAAAACATGTAAAAAAAACTAAAAAATCACTTCAGAGTTTCGTCGCCTCTTTCTGTTGATCAACAGAGTTAGAATTAGCTTCACTTTCAGATTGAATGATCCTCCGTGTGTGTGTGTGTGTGTGTGTGTGTGTGTGTGCATGCTTATCATCTTCCCTTCAACTATCAGAATCCATTATAGACCTCATTAATCACACATGCACACACACACACACGCGCTTTCTCTCTGACAGTGACATCCTCGCATACCAAGCCAAGGTGACAGGGGCATTATAAGTGTGTGTGTGTGTATGAGTGTGTGTGTGTGTGTGCGCGAGTGTGAATATGTAGGACAGTTTGGCAGACTGATGACATATCTGTTTAAGTGTTGCTGTGGGAGAGGATGCCATCTGTGTGTGTGTGTGTGTGTGTGTGTGTGTGTGTGCGTGCGTGCGTGTGTGTGTGTGTGTGTGTGTGTGTGTGTGTGTGTGTGTGTGTGTGTGTGTGTGTGTGTGTGTGTGTGTGAGAGACAGAGTTCCTCAGGGGTCGCTGCTCAGTCCCTTTTTTGAGACCTGACCGAGTCTGGAGCTCACGTTAACTTCTGAAACTCCTCACTGGTGGACCTCCTGGTGTGAGCAGCTGAACCTCTGCAGATAATCCAAACTGGAGGAGCCGGTCTGGTTTTCGACCAAACCCAGAACATGAATGATTAAACTCCTCTGACTTGGTAGTTAAACTCTGACCGCTAACTTTACCTGCAGAGCTCTTAGCTTAGACACCCCAGGATGAGAGCTGCATGTTGACCCACCCAAGATTTCTACTGTTCGCCAATTCCTACCAGATCTGTTTGTGAGGAGAACTTCGTGGTGGATTACAGACAGCAGTAATCACGAGAACTCACAAGAACCCGCAGATTCACGTTCAATCACGCGATAACGAGTTGTCTCTCTAAAGACAGACACATAGACATATAAGCAGTAGATTGTGTCCTTCCAGAGGAGGAAATCTACTTCTAGACTTCTAGAATCAGCATCTCCTCATCCATGGTGTCATCGGGGTGAAATGACGTCTAAAAACCTTTCACTTGTTCGTCTCCGCCCGTTTGCATGGTGTGAAATACGATCCTCCTGAAACACGGAGTGTTTTATTTTGAAAAGAAGCCGGATGTTTTATTTTGTGTCTGTGCCCGACTTCCTTTCCAGCACGGGTTAATCTGTGCTGAATTTATCCGCCATGCTCCGGCGTCCAGAAAAAATAGAACTCTTGTGATCAGCTGAGGAGTCCGGCGATCCGCAGAGGAACGGAAAGAAGTCGGTGTAAATTGACACGTTAACTTGAATGGTTACGATCAGCTACGATCGGAGGATACGACCTTTTAGGAGACGATCAGGATGAAGGTGGAGACTAAGAATTAGCTTTAAAAAAAAAATCAAAACTAAACAGCAGGAATAAAATGTTGGAGGAACAGGATCTTTGTTAGTCACTGAGAGCTCAGATCAATCAGGACACAACAGCTATTTAATGAATGACTATCCCAGTGATGTGTGTGTGTGTGTGTGTGTGTGTGTGTGTGTGTGTGTGTGTGTGTGTGTGTGTGTGTGTGTTACTCCAAAGGTGACCTAGTGAGGATGATAATGATGTTGAACAATCAGGAGCGAAAATGGGGGAACAGAATCCCAAGAGGAGGATGCATGTTTGTGTGTCTGTGTGTGTGTGTGTGTGTGTCTGTGTGTGTGTATGTGTGTGTGAGTGTATGTGTATGTGTGTGTGTGTGTATGTGTGTGTGAGTGTGTGTGTGTGTGTGTTTGTGTGTAATACAGTCTAAATTTGGAGGTCAAAAGCTGTAAAGCTGCACAGGTCCAGCCTGTAAACCTCACAGCTCCCCCCCCGCTCGCTCTGATTGGCCGGGATGGAAACCATAAAGACATGGATCTATACTGGATCTGGATGGATACTAACCTACTGGGAGCAGAGTTGATCCTGCAGACACCTCAGAGGTTATCGAGTATTAACACAGTCGTAGTTTTCACTGTAGACTCCTGTCCGTTCATTATTCCATTAAAACTGTTAAAAGGATATTTAACTTCAGTTTAAAGCATTTTTATCCTCACTGTCATTTTCAGTTATCAGGTTTGTCACCTCAGAAAGGTTCGGTCAGATTTCAGTGACAGGTGAATTATGTTCTCTATCATCTGAGCTTCTGTGAAGGATTTAGGGACACAGACAGGTACATTTTTCAGATACTAGTGTTTGTGTCGTTCATGAAGGTTTCGTTTAGAAGAACTGCTGAGTGAACGACGTGAACTGAATCGCTCTGAGACCGGATCGGTTTCTGTCTTAGTTCAGTGAAGCTCAGGCCTGCAGCTCCTCCATAAACATCGTACTTTCCCCCGTTCCCCCGATGCTTCCTGACACATTTTCACGCACAGATCTGCTCCAGCAGTTTCATCCTGTTGTCAGAAAAATGACGCTCAGCTTCAGAGCCCATGAAAATTTATGACTCAGTAACATGATTTATACAGAGAGCTTCCTGAGCTCTGAGCAGTATTAGCCTGTTTAACATCCACTCTTTGTTCTGGTCACAGAAACCTCCTCTCACAGCAGCTCAGAGGACCGCTCTGCTGCTGCTCGGTGGGTTTCTAGCGTATTTCTGGAGGTTCAGCTCCGTGGACGTCTCTACTGTCCTGTTTCTTCTCTCTGCTTTTGTCGTTCTGCTGTTTTGTTCTCATGCTGTACGAAGCCGAGCCAACCCTTTCTGTCTGGTTCTGGCTCGGCCCGCTCTTTAGAGATTTGACCAAAACCAAACAGCGTTTCGAGCTGCGAGCACGGCCAAGTCATCATGAAAGAAGTCCTTTTTACTCTGAAACAAAGAGCCACACCGGGGGGACGCCGAGCCGAGGCCCGGGTGGACGGAAGTCAAACCTGAGCATGTGGTTCCTGTCCTCACTGTTCTGTTCTGAAAACCTGATCAGGAGGTTTTTAAAGTCGATTAAATCCAGAAAATCATCGATGAACAAACAGGAACGTTTATAAACAGCCTGAAGATCCGAATGTTTCACAAGCAATAAAGCAGCTGTTGTTGAAATGGCAACTGATGCAAATAAGAACGTTGGAGCATGAGCAGCCACGCACACACACACACACACACACGTGCACAAACATAATCACAGTCGTCTCCACGAAGGAGGAGGAGGAGTGTGAGCAGGTTTCAGCCCCACTCAGCAGAACGACATCCTGACCTTTACCGAGTTATTAGACCAACCTGCTGTGATTTATGGTGCTGTGGTTCCCTGTGCAGTCCACACACACACACACACACACACACACACACACACACACACACACACACACACACACACACACACACACACACACACACACACACACACTTCCCTATCCTCTTCAACAAAGTCGTCATCTTCCTCATCTTCTCGTTTTTGTCTCTTCATGTTTCTAAAAATCGAACAGACTGTTTCTTCATGTCGACTTTTACCTGGTGAAACTATCATCAGCCAATCAGAGCTGTTCTTAGAGGACAGGTGGGAGACACCTGATGTTTTATGTCCTGATAACAGAAACTGAAACCCTCTTAAAGTTTATTTTTAATATCAGATTAAAAAGTCGAGGAGTTGTCAGATCTGACCTCTTACCTGGAACATGATCTTGTACTGCTCCTCCGGACGTTTGACCACACACATGTTACAGCCCATGATGGCGCCTCACACTCCTCCTCTTCTCTCGTCTCTTAATCCCTCCCTCCTCTGTCTCTGCAGGTCCCGCAGAAAAACAAAAGACCCTCCGGGGGATAATCCAGCGTGTCCGTTTGACCTCTGACCTCCGCAGGTGGGTGAGTCTCTTTTACTGTCACAAAGATCTTCTATTCGGACAGAGTCACCCTCAGAGAAATCAGGTCTTTCCTGAAGCTGTGACGCTGCACTAAATGTCCCACAAAGTCGTAACTCAAGAAACAAACATCGCTGAGACTCTGTGCTCGTTTCTTAGTGTGTCACACTCAAACAGTCGTGAAACAGGCGACAAAAAGCGGGACGTAGTTCAGCCGCGTTGATCGTCACTCTTCACAGTCAACACTTTTATCTGACGGCCCACGGGCGGCGAGGAGGCGAGGAGGCGAGGAGCTTTGTCTTTCCATCACGGGGGAAAATTAATTTTTACTCATGCACGGCAGATTGTTTCAGCCCTGCAGGAAGTGTGTGTGTGTGTGTGTGTGTGTGTGTGAGTGTGTGTGAGTGTGTGTGTGTTTGCTGTCTCACAAACACGATTTCAGGGGCAGGTCTGTTTCCTCAATATTAATATTTTTACTTGTTTTATTGGTGAAAAAGTTGATTTTCAGTTTCTGCACCTTAAACCTCCTCAGAGATGATTTTCTTTGTCTTTATTTTGATTCACACTGAGATCTTCTCCTTTTAAAGTGGTAGATTAAAACAGATAAACCCAAACAAGAGCTCCAACAGCCTCGTAAGTGTTCAGCTAAAGGTTGAGATGTGAGTTTTTGGATACGCAGGAGTGAAGGTTTCCTGTTTCCTGTTTCTCGTTCCTCTTTTCTTCTGTAAACGTGTAAAAACGACCAAAATCAGTTTTTTAAAGAAGCTGCTGAGATCTCCTCAGTCCGACTCCTGATCTGTTCAACCTGCTTTAAGCTCCTCTGAAACCAACATTTGTGCTCTTTAAAGGCAGTAATATCTCTAACCTAAACGTTGGTGGATGTTTAGTTTGTGTCTCCGGAGGTTTTCTTTTCAGGCTTCAGAGGAAACAAGAACAAACTGAGGAAGAATAAGAAACGAAGGAGAGAAAGAGAAAAACAGTTTCATCAGTTTGTAGTTTAACTTCAATAATTCATCCGAACACGACGGCTGCTGCTCTCCACAGACTGACAGGAGAGCAAATAAACGGCAGATTTTTCATCTGAATTATTCAAAATCAGACAGATTTATGTTTCTGGAGCGAGGAGAAGAAAAGACCGATAATGATTATTAGATTAAAACGGAGGCGAACATCAGAATTTACCAACATGAGTGTCAAACCTCTGAGAACAGTCCGGAGGTTGTGAGGCTGACTGTTTGTGGTTGACTCTGTATAAAAGGATCCTGCAGGTTTAAAAGTTCAGACCAACTGTTGGACGTCAGAAAAAGACGTCGGGGTGTTTTTGTCTCTGTGAACTCTTTTCTCTTTAACCTGCTCTCGTCTTTTGTGCTCGTTTCGTTTGTGCTTCTTATTTTTAGCAAAAATACTCGTTTTTAAAGTCGAAACTTGATCTGAGGAGTTTTCCTGGCTGCAGATTTTCATCTTAAGAGTAAAAAAGAGTTTTTTTGTTTGTTTGTTTTTATAAAAAAGATGTTTTCGATGTGCTTCTCTGCTCTGTTGAGCCTCTTTCAGACATGTTTTATTCCTCCTGTGACTGTTTCCTGAAGTTCTTGCTGACCGGTTTGATGAGGTGGAGAGTTTCCTCCTTTAATCTTGAAATCTGTGCGCTCATGTTCTCAGATTATTGGGATTTCTAACAGGCGGTGTTGAGTTTAACGTCCTAAAGGTGTAGAAATGTGAACGTTTCTCTCAGACGTGTTCAGGAGCTGCAGGTCTGAGTTTCACCGCCCCCCTCGCTCGCCCACAGACGCCCGTGGACGGGTGAGCGACAGATGAGCGCTCTGCAGAAACAGAAAAACAGACTCAGGCTGCGTTACCTGCTGCTGCTGTCTCTGAACATCACTGATCTGACTCACCGAGAGTCCGAGTCTGCCGCCGCCGTGCAGCTGTTATCTGTCATCAACACCTGCCGCAGCCGCTCAGGAACGCCTGTCAGACGACGCTGAGGGGAAAACCTAAATGAAACAGGAGACGAGGAGTCCTTCCAACGTCTTTGTGCTTCTTGGAGTTTGACACGAATCTTCAAACTGAAGGAAGAGTTTCAGGTTTTTCCCAGCATGCTCTCCTCCCTCAAGGTATGTTTACATCCTCTGCTGTCCAGGAAAAATCTAAACTCAATCCCTGAATCCTCCTCAGAGGTGATAATCCAGAGATGTGATAATCCAGAGATGTGATAATCCAGAGATGTGAACGGAGGTTTTAGTTTCAGCAAACATCAGCGTGGAACAGACGCCGTCCTCCTCAGACGAAGCTTTACCTGTAAGTCCTCAGAAATCCTCCTGCAGACCTAGGTAGATCCTGGATTTAGTCTCTCTCTCTGAGGAGGTTCAGATCCTCAGACCATCAGCCTCCTCCTCTCCTCCTCTCCTCCTCCTCTCTCCCTCCGTTCCTCCCTCACTTTCCTCCGCTGCTCCTGCATTTCTCCTCAAAGGTTAAATCCGGATTAGTCTCGCCGCTGGATACACACACACACACACACACACACACACACACACACACACACACACACACACACACACACACACACACACACACAGAGGCCTGTTAGAGGAGAGTCTGTCTGAGATCCTGAACCTCCAGGATGTCTAATAAACACAGACGGTTCATCAGTTTGTGACCAAAGAGACTGAATCTTCGTTTCTAAAGATGTCAGTGAGGGCAGAGACTTGTTCTAAAGGTACAGTGCACTCTTTGAGATAACCAGCAGGGGGCGTCTCACAGGTGTAAAGCAGGATGATAGACCTCTGAAGTCCGTTTACATTTTTAGGGACTCAGTTCAGACATTTTCAGTTTTCAGAGAAGATTTTGTTTCTAAAGAGGAAAAAAATCTCTGAACTAAAATCATTTCCTGATCACATGTTCTAGAGCTGGGCGATAAGAACATTTATGATCATTTCTTTATCATTTCCTTGAAGTAATAATCACCATATTGATCATTTTACAGACGCTGTAGTTCTTCTGTCTCAGCGTCTCGGTCTGATTGTATTTCCATGAAGAAATGATCATAAATGTTCTTCCTTGAGCTGCGGCACCCCGCTGTAGTCCCTAATGGACTGGCCTGAGGTCTCTCTACAAACAAGCAGCTGCTGGAAGAGAGTAGGTGAGTTGTGTTTAGTCTCTTTGCTAAAGAAATGAGTCAAAGTTAAAAAGATGTTTGGTGTCTAGTACTATGTCTGTGACCCTATATGTCCTGTTGATGAAGTTAGGTGCTGTTCTGAGCATTATTTGTGGCTATAGAGTGGCGTTTTGGTTGGGGGCGTGGCTCTCTGTATTTCTATCCTGCGGTCGTTACTAAAGTTGGTATAACTAGAGAAGGAAGCGGTCGACAACATTCATCTCTGGAGGGGGCGGGGTCTAACTCGGTGTTACGGTGGGTTTGACCCTGAATTAGTTTTACACCAGAATATCCCTTTAAAGGGACATGAGACCATAACCTATCTACACACATCGAAGATACTGATACGGGCAAAATGACGTCGGTTATTAACGTAAATTTTCGGTTTATCGCCCAGCTCTAACATGTGTAACAGATCAGCAGACAGAGTCAAACAAACATGCTGAGAGCTTCCTTCTTTATTTGTCCAAACTAAACTGAAATGTTTTTCTTCTTCACTTTCACACATTTACAAAAATATCAGTATAGCTTTAAAAATTTCACCCTGAAAATCCTTTTAAGAGATTTTAGTCAAACGATAAACCGACGTAGGAAATCTTCTGCAGGTTTAAGTGAAGAACATCTTTCTCTGCTGTTGAACAGATCTAAAGAAAACAGACTCAGGTTTATCAGAGGTAAACAGACCTTCTCCTGCTGCACATCGAGGAGGTCCAGACCAGGTAAAAACTGGATCCAGAGGAGGAGGTGGAACTCCACACCTCTGTCATCTTACCTGCTGTTGGTCAAAGATCTAAAATCAGCCGCAGTGATTTGTTTAAAGACTCAAAGTTTCACCTTCCTAGATGTTTCCTCCACTGCCTGATTTCCCAGGAGAACAGCCTCCTCCTCCTCCTCCCACAGAAGGTGATCCTCGTCTGGGCAAAGCCTCCCCTTCCTCCTCCTCCTCCTCCTCTTCCTCCTCCTGCAGCTGCTGCTTCTCTTTCTTCCTCAGGATAAAGACACAGATCTGCTCTTTCCCTCCCTGTTTGCTTCATCAGACGAGGAATCAGCGGGCAGATCTGCAGCTCTCTGCTCGCCGCCGCTCTCTCTCTTTCTGCAGCATCCTCTTCTTCACGCTGGAACAACAGCAGCTCCGCGGCAGCTCAGCCAGCCAATAACCTGCAGCCGGCAATTAATTTTCCTCCCTGCCACGGCTTTCTCCTCCTCCTCCTCCTCCTCTTCCTCTGCTCTGAATCCCCTCCCCTCTTTCTCTCCTCCAGCTCTCCGTCTCTAATCTTATTGTTCTTTACCTGTTCATCCATCTCTGTGACACCTGAATGTTCCTCTTTCTTCACACACGTAAACATGAGTGTGTCTTTTTAGCAGCTTTGAGGTTTGTGACGGTGATCTCAGCCGTCAGGAGAACCCTCTCCTCTCTGAACTTTAACTCCTTAAATCAGCTGGACTGAAGGGGTCATCTGTGGAGAACAGAGAGGACACGTCGGTCTGATGGTGAGGGTCACATTTGTAGGTTTGGTCCTGGAAGAGATGATGGTGTTAAAGGTTTTCTCTGTCAGTCAGGGTCCAGGACTTTTAAAAATCAGATTTAAGACGTTTGAAGAGAAAAAATCAAGGAAACTGATACCTACTGATACTTAGAACAATGTGGATCTGAGGAGACAAAACATTAGGGACGCTTTAACCCAACACTCCATGATCCTCGTTTTAGTTCAGACAGCCGTCCGCTCACTGAGAACCAAAACTACGACTTTATCAACTCTTTATTCTCACCGCATCATGACTTTACTCTCCTTATATCATGACGTCACTACGGCTTTATTTTTCTAACAATTTGCATTTGATTTTATTACATTAAAACTTGAAGGTGTGGTGGTATAATGTCAAAATTTAGAGATTAAAAAAATCTAAATGATATCAAACTTCGAGTATTGAGATCAAAAATTGAAATTTCGAGATTAAAGTCGATATTTTGAGATTAAAGTCAAAATTTCAAGATAAAAAATCAATGTCAAATTTAAAAATTTGAGATTAAAACAATTGAAATTATGTCAATAAGGTTGGTATTGTGAGATTGAGAATTGAAATTTAAAGAATAATCTCAAAATTGGAGACCAAAGTCAAAAGTTCGAGATTAAAAAAAAATCAAAAGTATTTCAATAAAGTCGAAATTTCGAGATAAAAAATTGAAATTTAAAGATTAAAGTCTTAATTTCGAGATTAAAATCGATATCTCGATTACAAAATGTTTAGAATATTGTAAAAATTTGAGATTAAAGTCTAAATTTCGACTTAAATCTTAAAATGAAAATCTAAAAAATCTCCCTCCTGTCATTAGTTTTTCTCCTCTCTTGGCCCTGATCCTCTTTCGTATGTTTGTTTAGTTTTCAATCATTTGCAGGTTCAGATTTTTATATGATTCATGGATTAAATTGACGCTCAGATCTGAATATTTATCTCATTTGGTTAAATCTGTTTTCAGCTCCTCTGGTGGGAGGAGGACAGTTCATCAGTTCATCGGTTTTCCTTTCACACCTTTAATTCTCCTCTTTTTCTTTTTAACGAACGTCTGAATATTTAAAATCTCTGAACAGTTTCTGCTCATTAATGTCCCATCGGGGCTTTTTCTCTTCCTGCTACACGGATGACCTCGAGTTTGGATGCAATTTTAGTTCACAGATTACCGCGTGTGTGTGTGTGTGTGTCTGTGTCTGTGTCTGTGTGTGTGTGTGTGTGTGTGTGTGTGTGTGTGTGTGTGTGTGTGTGTGTCTGTGTCTGTGTCTGTGTGTGTGTGTGTGTGTGTGTGTGATCTCAAAAACCAATTTGTCTGCAGATAAATGAACTCTGCTGACATTTATATGAATCTAATTGAATTATATTTAATCGTCCTGCTGTAACGGCCTCGCTCT